TTTCCTGTCTCCCTTGGTGTGGCTTCTTGTTTGTGGCCTATATTACTGGGGTAACATACTACAGAATTTATTTACTTATCCTGTATATTCTTTGTTCACCCCAGGAGAATATAATTTCCATGAGGGTTGAGATTTGGTTTTTGTCACTGTGGTATCCCTGGTGCCTTTAATATAGAATATATTGTGCCCAGAATATATCTCGATGCGTCTGGCACGTAGTAGGTGCTTAGTAAATATTTAGTGAATGAAGGGGTGCCTGGGTGGCTCAGTCGGTTGAGCATCCGTCTTTGGCTCAGGTCATGATCTCGCGGTTTGTGAGTTAAGCCCCACGTTGGGCTCTGTGCTGACAGCTCAATGCCTGGAGCCTCCTTTGGATTCTGTGTCTCCCTCTCTCTGCCCCTCCCCTGCTCTCACTCTATTTTTCTCGCTCTCCCTCTCTCCTTCAAAAATAAACATTAAAAAAATATTTCGTGAATGAAGGAAGGAACCAATATTATCCTATTTGACTATTTTAATGGCTCTAGAGGCCCACGCTATGGCTGATGTAGTAATAGCAGCTCAGCAGTGGCTAACATTCACATGACATGTCCGATACATGAATTTAGCTCCTTTACAGACGTATAGTCCTTTACATATTTACACCCATTCAAACTTCTCCACGATCTTATGAACTAGGTTTGATAGTTACTCCCACTTATTTTTATTTTATTTTCAAAGTATCTAATTTTGGTTGCTCCCATTTAATAGATTACAAAACGGAGGCTCAGACAGATTTATTAATTTGCCCACAGTCACACAGATAATAAGTGGTCATGCCGGGCTGGCTGCATCTTGAACCAGCACATTTAATTCCTTGTGCCAAACCATTGCAGAATGGGTATACCACGGCTAACGTTTTTTTGTTTGTTTGTTTATTTACTTTTGAGAGACAGAGAGACAGAGAGCGCGAGTGGGGATGCATGAACGTGTGCTAGCAGGGGAGGGGTGAAGAAAGGGACACCAAGGATCCTAAGTGAGGCTGGCTCTGCACTGACAGTAGAGAGCCCAATGTGGGCTTGAACTCAGTAACCGTGAGATCATGACCTTGAGCTGAAGCCTGACGCTCAACAGACTAAGCCACCCAGGCGCCCTACCATGACTTTCTTAACCAGTCTCCTTTTAATAGATACCATCGTAAGGGTCTCAGAGAGGTTGAGTAGATTGCTGAGTGTCCGTGAGCTGTATCCTAGGTCGGAATTCTCAATCACTTCATTGTCTTACTTCCCAAAGCCCGAGTCTCCCCCAGGAGAAGGACTGGGGTTATGAGGGCTTCCCAGGTGGCCAACTTCTGCCCTTTGGCAGAGCCCTTCCTCCCCAAGGCCCTCCCTCTACCGGCCTCCACTTCCAGCCCTGGAATAATCCGCTCCCAGGATGGCCGCAGGCCATGGACACACAGTAGCCCGTTTAATCCCTTAATGGTCCATCTGCCTCCCAGAGGGAATGTAGACGTGTCCAGGTTCCTGTTCTGGAGTTTTCCTTGTTTTGCCTCTCTTACCTCAAGTGAGGTCAGGGACTGCCCCGGGGGGGACTAACCTGACATTCATTCAGTCACTTTTATGGAGCAGTTTGGCTTCCTGCGAATCCAGACGAACCCAGCCTCTCAGCCTGTATCCTCTACTATTGTGCTATCAGACGGATACGGATACGGATACGGATACGGATACTGCCGGTGAGAGGAGGAAAACACAGTTTCTGCCCTCGGGAGGCTCACAGTTAGGGGTGGGACAAACATTAGGAAAGTACTCAGCCCCAGTAAGAGTCTAAGTGTGATTACCATCTGGGTCATTGAACTAGACTGAGATGCCAGGAAGGGACCCCTGGGCTGGGAGCTGGTGGATTAAGCAAAAAGAGGGAAGAGCGTGCCAGGACAATGAAGTGAACGGCCAAGGGCCCTGGGGACAGCAGGGGTCACAGGGGCCAGGGTGTTGGGGCCTCCTCACACTCAACGAGTTTTGGCTTTTATTCCAAGTACAGCGGATTTGCATTCTGACTACCGTTCTGGCTGAAGAGTGGAGAACAGACTAGCTGCGACTACAGGGGAAGTAGAGGAAGTAGTGAACCGAGAAATACTTGGCCCAGAGTGATGCCGCTCCCCAGGGTCCGCTCGCATCCAAAGACCGATGGATTGGCTGGAGTGGGGCAGGCAAAATGGTTCAGTCCTTTAGTCCAAGCGGGACAGCTCTGGGGGGTGGTTTCACCCCTAGAGCCCCCGTGGGGTGACCAAGATCTTAAAACAGAGATAAAAACCACAGAAGTTCCCATTCTCTGTGGAGAAGAGGCTTGAGGCCAGCACCTGCCCAGGGTTCCAGAGAAATGGAGGTGCGTCCCTGGCCCCGCCAGTGTGTATTGAGGATGCGGCTATATGGTGGGCAGGGTCTGGTTCTCAGAACCTGTCCCTCCCCCCATCACATCTCTCCTACCTCCAGAAGGATGGTGGCCTGGGGTTGCTGGTCCCTGCTTCCCCACTTACTTGCTCGGTGACCTTGGGCAACCCCCCCTTCCCTCTCTGGGCCCATTTCTTCATAAGAAAGCAGGCTGGAGGGGCGCCGGGGTGGCTCAGTCGGTTAAGTGTCCGACTTTGGCTCAGGTCATGATCTTACGGTTTGTGGGTTCCAGCCCCGTGTCGGGTTCTGTGACAGCTAGCTCAGAGCCTGGAGTCTGCTTCAGATTCTGTGTCTCCCTCTCTCTCTGACCTTCCCCTGCTCACACTGTCTCTGAGAAATAAATAAAAACATTAAAAAAAAAAAAAAAAGAAAGCAAGTTGGAGGGGCACCTGGGTGGCTCAGTCCGTTAAGCTTCGGATTCTTGATTTCAACTCTTGATCTCATGATTTGATCTCAGAGTTGGGCTCTGCGTGGACAGTGCGGAGCCTATCTGGGAGTCTCTCTCTCCCTCTCTCTCTGCCCCTCCCCTGCTCAGCATGCCCTCTCCCTCTCAAAGTCAATAAATTAACTTAAAAAGAAAGCAAGTTGGAGTAATTAGTGACTCTTGTGATTGCTTTGGCAGCACGTATGCTAAAATTGGAGTAGTGATTCTTTATTTTTTTTATTTTTTAAACATATTTATTCATTTTTGAGACAGAGAGAGAGAGAGAGACAGAGAGAGACAGGGCATGAGTGAGGGAGGGGCAGAGAGAGAGGGAGACACAAAGCAGGCTCCAGGCTCTGAGCTAGCTGTCAGCAGAGCCTGATGTGGGGCTTGAACCCACTAACTGTGAGATTATGACCTGAGCTGAAATCAGATGCTCAGCCAACTGAGCCACCCGGGGGGCCACTGGAGTAATTAGTGATGCTTAACTTCTGGGGCAAATCAGAGTCACAGAGTTTGTAGAAAGCTATGACCATTATGTACTTAATTTCTAGCAGCTACAGAGGTTCCTGAAGCCCTGGGGTGGGCTGGGCTCTCAACTGGGCCTCAAGTGAAGAATCCTTGCTTCTCGGATGAGTCAGTAACAAGCGGTATTTTTGAAGGCCTGCTGAGGACCAGTCCATGACCTTGTTCTAATCCTTGCTGCAATCCTTGAAGCTTTGAGGGCTAGAGTGACTTGCCCAAGCTGGGGGGTGCTGAACTAGGACCCCCAAGTCTGGTCTTTCAGAAGCCAAAGACTGTTCTTCCCATTACATGAGAGACATCTTCTTTTCATCCCCCCACGCCCCAAAACATCATACATTTCAGGCCTAGTAGCCACTGCTCTTCTGCAGTTTGAAGTGCTCTCATGAGGCACCGCCTATCTCTTGAGGTAAGATGGAGGACCTGAAGCTCAGAGAGGCTGAGTGGACTGCAAGGTCACACAGCAAGCACACAGTGAGATGAGTGGTGGAGTACAAGCTGAGAGGTGGAGGTTGTGGACACGTGTGATCACTCCCGAAGTCCCAGTGCGGACCAGACTCTTCCCGTTGTGCCTTGCAAGGCCAGCCAGAAGAAGGGTGGGGAGGTTGTACTCAGGGGAAGAAAGCAGGCCCCTAGGGCTGGGCCTTAAAGAATGAGCCCAAGTTTGGTTAAGGAGAATCTGTCTCCCCTAACAACTTGGTTCTTTCTCCCTGACTCAACTGTAGCTATTCTCCCTTCTAGGGCCTACCAAAATCTTCCTTGTTTTCCAAGGCCAGCTTAAACGTCTCCCCTGAAAATTTGAGCCCCACCCCCTCATTCATTTTTCCTGCCTGTCTTCTCCTCCCAAACCGGGTGCTCTTTGAAGGCTGGATGCTCTCCTACTGTCCCGCAGGGCTTGAGCAGGGCAGAGAGGGGTTTAGTCAATCAAGGACGAGAGGCTGCTGCTGACTTGCACTCCAAAGGGAAAGGGTCTCCTGGGAGTGTTCCACCCCCATTTTAGAAGTTTCTAGTTTCCGCCCTGTCCCTACTCCATGGAAAGGGACCAGAGAGGCAGTCAACACCCTAAGTGTGAGAAGGCCCAGGGTGCTCAGGTCATCACACCAGGGGGCCCTGTCCTGGGCCTGGGTCTGCCTCCTCAAGGGAAGAGAGATGATCTCATTGAAAGTCCGTGTCCGCCCCCCGCCCGCTACAGTTCCAGCGAATTACCCAGGGTGGTGGTGGGGCGCTGAATACTGCCGGGTGTGTGTGTGTGTGTGTGTGTGTGTGTGTGTGTGTCCAGAAGTGCTTTTGATTTAAGAAACTCCCGAAGGACAGGCCGAAAATGCCCACAGCACGACTCCTCCCGCCTCCTTAAGAAGCAAAACCCACTTGGCAATGGCCGCCCCAAACCCAGTCCCGCGCCCTCCGTCCCGAAGCTCACCAGCCTGAGCCCCGACGCAAACAAACCCCAGCCAGACCCGGAGGGCGCGGCGCCTTTAAGAGGCGGCGAGCGGCGCTGCCCTCTAGCGGCCGGCGCTGCGGCGCTTCCTCCGCCCCGGCGGGGTCCAGCGGGCCGCCCGGCCGGGTCAGCGCGGCGGCGGCGGCGGCGGCGGCAGCGGCGACCGGGTTCGGCGGGTGCGCGGGCTGCGCGCGGGGGCGAAGACGAGGGCCGAGAGGCGGCGGCGGCGGCGGCGGCGGGTGAGGACGCCGGGCCGGGGAGCGCGGGCGGCCGCGTGCGCCCCGCCGGGGTCCGTGCGCGCCGGGAAGGGCACGCGCCCGGCTCCGCAGCGGCCGATCGCGCCGCCCCGGGGCTCGGAGTCCGCGGCCGCCGGCGCGGGCGGGAGGGCTGGGAGGAGGGGCCTCGAGGGGCGCGGGGGCCGGGCCTGCGCCGCCAGGGCCGCCGCGGGGGGGGGGGGTGGGAGAAATCGGGGGGGGAAGGGGGCGTGCGGCGCGGCCCCGGGGCGCCCGGCCCCGGCCCGGCGCTGGCGATCTGGCGCGCTGGCGAGCCCCGCGGGCGGCGGGGGCGTGGGCGGCGGCGGCAGCCAGTGGCACGCCGCGCTGAGCGCCGCTCCCTCCGCCCGGGCGCCCGCCCCGGCCCGCCCCTCCCGGCAGGACTGCGCGCCCCGAGTCCCGTTCCGCGTCCCCGCCGCCGGAGGAGGTGCCCGCACGCTCGCGGCGCGCGCCGGGGCCGCCACACTCGGCCTGTGGGCGATTTCCTCCGGACCCGAGCTCCCCGCCCGAGGAGGAAGATGCAGACCTTTCTGAAAGGGAAGAGAGTTGGCTACTGGCTGAGCGAGAAGAAAATCAAGAAGCTGAATTTCCAGGCCTTCGCCGAGCTGTGCAGGTAAGAGGGACGGGGCCCCGTCGCCCGGGGACCCCCCGGCCCGAGCCCTGTTCAGCCTCAGCCGCGGTTTTGGGGAGGCTGGAGCGTTCGGGAAGGAGCGGCGCTCGGGGACGTTGAGTCCCAGCGGCCAGGTGGTTGTGGCGGCCGCCGGCTGTGCTCGAGGGGGAGCGGCGGCCAGGATGGGCGGTGTGGCACGGACCGGGGCTTCCAGGTGCACCGTGACCCTCGGTGGGGAAGCCCCCAGCTGCCCCGAGCGCGTTGGGGACGCTGCTGAAGGTGGCAGAGGGACCTGGGAAATCGGGGAATCCACGCTGTCTGCCTGTGGCTGGAGGTTACTTTTGGACTGGAGTGTTCTTTCCTCCTTCCTTCCCTTCCCTTCCCTTCGTGGAGAAGGGCAGCACGTTGGTAGGTTTGCAGACCACCTACTGAGTGCCCCGCGTGTGCAGCCCTTGATGCTGTCATTGCATGTCACTGGGTTAAGTCTCTGTGCAGCGAGTAGCAATACTTGGCATAGATGTGGTGATTTGCTGTCTCATTAGAGCGTCGCCCCAGCTTTGAGAATTGACCGGGGTGGTCATTCTAGGCCATGTGTCTGAGAAGAGGGAGCGATCTGCGGAGAGGTGGGGTACCCTACCTGGGGTCCCACAGCTAGGGAGTGTCTGGTGCAGAGGAGGTGGGGTGAATGCATGTGGTGTCGAATGGCCTTCCTCCTGCCTGACAAGCTCCCCCCCCCCCAAGCTCCTGCTCAGTGGTGGAGATTCATGGTGTTTTAATAAGATTACATTCCTAGTCTCTTATGACTCGTGGGTCAGGTGTACCTCACCTTGCTCTACAACTGTGGCTTCGCCTCTGGGAAGCCGTTAGTGAAATCCTGTTCTTATCAGAAAGCCCAAGAGAATCCTTTTGTTATTCAGTGTCTCCACTTGGTAGATTTGATTCTTGAAAATGTGTTCCTCTTACATTTTTGTCCCCGTCGGGTCCCCAAACATGTTGCAGAATCGAACATTTGGGCTTCCTTATCTCCTGGTGCTCGGAACAAGCGGTGAGCCGGAGCTGCCCTTCGCCTTGCTGGCCCCTGGCCTGTGGCGCTTCTGTGCCCCTGATGCCTGTCCCAAGGGCTGTTGCTCCTTTGCCCTGGCAAACCCCTCAGGTTTTCTTGTTCCTGCAGCCAGAGGGGCGCACCTTGTGTAAACCGGCTCCTGGCTCTGCGTCCTTTGGCCTCGGGATGGAGTTGGCTGCCATTTCTCAGGCTGGTCTCCTAAGGAGAAAGCACGCTTTTCATGGGCGGTAGGCATGCCAAGCAGCCCGGGAATTCACAAGGAAATCAGGAAATCAGGAGGAACTTGCAGCCAGGACTTTGAAAATGGGTCCGAGGACTTTTGGAACATTAAAAAAGGACACTTGAACTTTGCGCTGCGGATACACACACACACGGGGAAAAAGTGCCCCAGCCATGGGAGAAATGTGAACCCCTTTGACGTGTTTTGGATGCCCCTCTCTGCTGTTAGGCTCTGGAGTCATCTGAGACTTGGGAAATCCCAGTTAATACCTTGCACGCTTTCCCCCCCCAAGATCCGTCTGTATTTGTGTCATCTTGTGTCTGCAGCTAAAGCATGAGGCTTGTCATCTGGCTGGTATGTTTTGCTCGTTAATTAGGAGGCTTTCGCAAAAACAGTTCCAGCCCAGACTCGGGGCTGGGTCCTGCTATGGACGTGCAGATTGCCTTCCCTTCTCACGGACACCCCCTGCCTTCAAACAGGGCTGGAGGGGTGTTCAGGGCAAGCCCTGAGATGTCAACCGTTCCGGGGGGGGAAGTCCAACTTGGAGGGTTAATTTCTCTGGAAAGGTTGTTGCCCAAGGTCTGGATGCCTACTTCTAGCCAGAATATTGGCTTCACAGAGAAGACAGAAAGCAACTGGGTCATTCTAGAACCTCAGGAAGCCCACTTGTTTTCATTAGGGAAGCTCTAGATACCGTGTCTTTTAAGCTGAGGAAGGAAAAGAAAACACCAAGAAAGAGTTTTTCTTTTTTTTTTCCTCTTCGTTGTTACTTTCAGGGCAGCGCCCCCTGGCGGTCACGTTTCTCTACTTGGTGCAGAAAGCTCCCGTTGACAGGGCGGCCAGAGCCCTTGGCAGTTGCTGTGCTCTTGGTAGGGAAAGCTGGTTGCATTTCAGTGACCCAAGAGGTGAATGTGGATGGACGCTGTCACGCTTTCGACATTCACGGTCTGGAGGTGCAACGCTCCCGTTTTGACGGATGATGCGTTGCCTGTGACTTTCTCTGCTGAGAAAGTCCAGAAATGTTTGAAAACGATCTGAAACTCGGCTCCGAATGTTTAGGGCCGTGTCAGCGCCGGAGAGCATGGCCTGAATGGACCAGACGCGCTGTTTGGCTGGATGTCAGACCTTGTAAAAATCTTAGAGCAGGAGGGGATGTTGGGGATCATCTGCTCCAGCCCCTTTGTTTTACAGATGGGGAGGCAGGCACAAGAAGGGGTGCGTTTCATACTTTTGCTCTTTTTTGTTTAACTTCTAGAATGAACCCAAGTTGGTGACCTGGAGACCCCCACAGAAAGCCCTTTCTCCTGGGGCCCCTCCAGCAGTGAGGCGGACCCCCTCTTCCTTCACAAGCGTCCAGCTGCTGCTTCTTTTCCCGGAGACACTTCCTTGCCTTGTTCTGCCAGGGGGGCATTGCATGTGGATGGCAGCAGGAGGGGGCTGGCACCTGGGTCTGCATCTGGCAGGTGGGCCTAAGGGCCCAGCCTTCACACCCTTGGGGCACCTGGGGAGGACAGCCCTCTGACTGGTCAACAGATGGGCCTTTGGCTCAGCTTGTTTTTAGTGGTACCCTTTGTTCCTGTCACTGTCCTCGGTCTCTTCTCCCTTCAGGGACAGGGACATGGATGAGACTCTGGTTTGTGTTCTCTTTCCCTCCGCCACCCTCCTTGCCCGCCTGCTCATACCCGAGCAGCCTCATGGTTCCCTCACGCCCTCTCCTTGTTCCCTTTTCTTTCTTCTTCTTCTTCTTCTTTTTTTAAATGTTTTTTTTTTTAATTTTTTATTTCTAGGAGAGAGAGAGAGAGAGAGACAGCATGAGCAGGGGAGGGTCAGAGAGAGAGGGAGTCACAGACCGAAACAGGCTCCAGGCTCTGAGCTGGCAGCCAGCACAGAGCCCGACACGGGGCTCGAACCCACGAACCGCGAGATCATGACCCAGGCGAAAGTTGGACGCTTAGCGAGATCATGACCCAGGCGCCCCTTCTTCTTCTTCTTTTTTACTGTTTATTCATTTTGGAGAGAGTGAGAGTGGGGGAGGGGCAGAGAGAGAGGGAGACACAGAATCTGAAGCAGGCCCCAGGCTCTGAGCTGTGGGCACAGACCCTGACATGGGACTTGAACCCGTGAACCGTGAGATCGTGACCTGAGCTGAAGTCGGACGCTTAACCGACTGAGCCACCCAGGCGCCCCTTAAGAAAAGCATTTTTTTTTTTAAACGTTTTCCTTGTACCTTTTGCAAGATGTCCCAAAGGGACTCCCAAGGGGCAGCCGAGAAATAGAGCTGATAGTTGGACATGTGGGGGGTGGGGGGGTTGATTTTTGATTTTTGAACTTCTCCATGGTGTCTCCTTTGGAAATGCCGGCTGGCCCCCACCTCTCCCTTCCCTTTGTTTTCTGTGTCTCTCCTCCGTTTCCTCACCCTCTGACCCTTTTCTGTCCTGTGCCCGAACCTGTGCTGGGGGCCGTAGTGAAGTCACGGGACGTCAGGAAGCGTTTTGGTGTAAGATGTGGGTGGCCCGATGTCTGTCTGTCTGCTGTTCTGGCAGCTGCCTTTTTGATGCGGTCCTTCCTGGCACCTCATCTCACTTCATGCTCCCAGGGGCCCGGGTCGCGGGGGCCCCTTCACCCGGGGGGACATGGCTTCCGTGTTGTCTCTTCTCTGCCCACGGTAGGCCCGGCCTTCCTGGAGCCCCCAAAGCAGAGGGATGTCTGTGAGGTTCTCTTCCTTGAGAACTTTGGAGGCCAGCGCGGCGCCCTGGGCCCGCAGGAAGCGTGTTTACGGAGCAATCTCGGGCCACATTCTCATCGCAGACCGTCCCCTGGGCAACCTGTGTCCAGTTCCCTCACAGGGAATGGGGCCTGGAGGCCACTGACGCTCAGGTTTACCCAGCACCTTCTCGGTGGGGGGGCCTTGGCCTGAGAGGCGGCAGGTTCGGGGGCAGCAGGGCAGCCCCTGTCCTTGGGGAGCTGGGAGCGTGGTGGTAACGGCAGCCTGGCCTGGGGAAGCGTGCCAGCGAGGCCGTAAGGGTGCGGCGGGCCTTCCCCTCCCCTCCTCGCCCTACATTCCTTCCTTTAAAAGGGGGCATCTCGAAGGTCCCTTTCTGCTGAGATGGCCTAGCATTCTGGGCTGGCATTCTTTCAGGAGATTCTCCGGGGGAAGGAGGAGGACCTTTTCCGGGATTAAGGGACGCTGGTCTGCGGGTAGGGATGGCTCTCTTTGTCTCAGGGCCTGGATTTGCACCATTTTGGGGGCGCGGGGCTGGGAGGAGGTACTGACCAGGTTTCCTGTACACCCGTGCCCCGAGACTGTCCATAACTCAGTCTTGCAAAGAAGTGCTTTCTACGTGCCTCCAAGGGAGAGAACAGGACTCACGGTGGCAGAAGATGCCCATCTGCACGGTGCTGGGCCCCAGCCTGGCTCCACGACAGACCTTCCGTGTGACCCTGGGCCCTCCGTGCCTCAGTTTCCCCACCTGCAAAGTGAGGGTGTTAGCACTACCCAATGCAGGGTGTTGTGTGCATGAAAGGGGGCAGGACTCTGGGCATGTGAGGTGGCTGCAAACTCTGTAAATGGTGCCTGCTGCTTGTTTTCATAGCTGCCCTTGGGGCGCGGGGCAGTGGGCTTCCGCCCACGGATGCCTCTCTGTTCCAGGATCCATGGCACTGGTAGGTCTAGCATTCTCTGCCTGGGCTGTTTGTGAGGGGCCCTGAAGCCCACGATGG